CTATATTATTTACAATTCTCTAAAATATTAACCGACAATGTTTCATGTCAATATTATTTTTTCGACATTTTTCCTTTCGATATTTTTTTCTTTCGACATTTTTCTTTTCGATATTTTTCCTTTCGATATTTTTCCTTTCGACATTATGACGGCCAACCGGTCAACTTTCTATGCATGTGCGTGGCTAACAAGTAATTCGCGAATACATGTTATTAGTAAAAATTCAACATACGGACGATCTTTTATTAATTGCATTCTCATAAGAAGTGTATCAAGATAAGCTTCGATTCGATCCATAGCTTCAATTTTATAATCTTCACGTACGAGATGTTCGACAGCTGAAAAAAAAGCAAATTTTATAATTGATTTGTTCTTCTTAATGAAAAAAATGTTTTACCAATTCGAGCACGAGGAACTTTATTGTTACGAACATAATCAGCAACTGTATAACGTTCTTTTGCTACTTGTTCGGATTTTTTCTTTTCACGTACATCAAGACGTGCTTTAGCGACTTGAAGTACGGTTTTTAAATCTGCTATCCATTTACTATTCGGCATTGATTTGTTTTTTCGATAGAAATGAAATCTAAAATAAATAAAAAAAAAAAAATTAAGTTATTAGATAATATCTATTACAGTGTTAAGTTGCAGAGAGAAAAAGGTAAGTCCGAATAATACGTAAAAAAATAAGCGTTTCATTTCTTTTCTCATGAAATCCTAATAAATCTTAATCTAAAAGAACTGAAAACTTTTCATTTTTATCAAAAAAACATTTCTAATTCTTCTCTATTGATGCTACGAATTTGAAGTATTAGCTCTTAATAGTTACTGAATTAACGTTCGAGGTCTCTTCAAAATTGCACGAGATACGCTGAAGTGTTTTTAGATTATATACTCAAAAAAAAAAAAATGATTAACTCATTAGTGTATAGTGCGAGAAATTCATTGAAAATGAACATCTACTATTGAAACGTATATACAAGGTTACTGGAACCTAGTTCATATTAATTCTTGTAAACATAATGTAATATTCAATTCCATAAAAGATATATTCACAGACACTATAAATATGAAAAGATCAACATTACCTGAATGAAGTGTTTTTTTTTTCTCAGGTCTATCTGACCATCAATCTCAAGCACAATAGTTATACTAAATAAAAAGTTTGAATAGAATAAAGTCTGTTAGAGTTTCACATATTTGTATTACGAACGATAACATTAAATGAGTAATAAGAAAAAATAAGATAGAAAATGAATCATGTTTATTCTTTGTTTATATGACTCATGTTAAATTTGACAATAATTATTTCGTATCAATAAAATAAATAATTAAAATATAATGACAAATATGATTTTGGGTTTTTGTTTCAAAAAATTAATTTCTTCAAAAAATTTATATTGGCGCCACAATAAAAAATAAAAATTAATTGATGCATTAATTTCAACCAATCAAATTTTCTTGCAGAAATCTATACACATGACATGCAGATTTTTCCGAAACGAATTTGAGATTTTCTGTGTATAATTAATCAATCTCATTTGAATGAATTGAGTTAGTACACGACTACTTTAATCATATCGTTTCAGTGATTAATGTAATTCGTGTACACAAGACGATGTGAGATCGAGGGCGCTGTGGTTTAAATGAAGATGCACAAAAAAAAAAAAATCACGTGATTCCATTTTAGATCACTTTTACAATCGTTTTGTGCGTTTAAATTTTCGATAAATAAAGTTCACAATCGAATTACTTCATCGTGGAAGTATCAAGTTTTCTAGTATTTCCTATCCTGAAATATATATATAAAAATTAAGGTCGAATTTTTTTTTTGCATAAGAGAATTTTCAATGTTGATATTTGACGAAAGGAGATATTAGAATATCTAATACTTGCACGGTCAACTAATCCCATTGAGAACTTTAACAAACGTTTGAATGCAAAAATGGGCTTTAAAAGTGATCTAAAATGGAACTATAACAATTTATTTTGTCATGTTCATTAAAAAAATTCATTGCTCAAAAGTGAAAATTCATGAGCAGGAATCGTTTTTAGACTTTTTTTGAGCCCCAATTGGATTCATCTAGTTAATTACAATTCATCTAAAGAGCGAATTATCATTTGATAGAGTTCTTCTCTTAATTAGGTTAGTCAAATTTTTTTTTTCATTGTACACAAAGCAAATAGTGCCATAGATTTAGAGTATATTAATAAAAACATCTTGTTTAAATCAAGATTAGGCGAAATCCATCATTATATGCTTATTTATTTGAGATTCTACGTAAAATTAATGAAAATATGAAATATCTTACAAGGAAACATATGCAATTATCGTATGCTGTTCGACTTCATCTTCTAGTGACAAGTGGGTCTTCATGAGACTAAATATAACTTAAAACGATACGTAAACGAAGAATTTCGACTTGAAATTTTGCGTATAAATAATATTTAATAGGTGCTCCACAGCAAACATGTAGAAACATTAAAATTAGTGTTTCATTTTCTGACATTATATAATATCAGAAGGTGTCACACTTTTTTTTTATAATGCGAAACACTAATTTTAATGTCACCATACGATGTAATGGAACACCTGATAAACGAATATCCTATTAAATCTATCAATAAGTAAAATATCAAGTCAAAACTCTTGATGTTTATGTTCTCTAAATATATCTTGGTCTCAGTAAGAAAAAAAATAGTTTTATTAAAATGATCATAACTCTTCATTAGCAAACTACAAAGAAGAATCATTTTAGGTTGTTCCTAGTCTCACAGGAGCTGACACATAGCCATAAGATGAGGTTGAAGGATGTCCAAAATTTCAATATCTTCCAACGTTAGTTATATGCTTTACATTGAAAGACGAAGTTCATCTTCAAATGTTTTGTTTTTAATTATGAAATACAATCTAAAAGAAGTGTTGAAATATATAGTGTAGAAGTTAGGTGGTACTCCCCCCCATAGACCGTATATCAAACACGTCCGTTCTAATATTTGAATTACTTCCTTATTACATTTCTGAAGTATTCAGTAAAAAGATCGTGAAGAGATGTGTTTTAGAATAGAGAAAATAAAACAATCTCCTGCGATTAACACCAGCAGCTACATCGTGTTTCACATTTTAATCCCACAGAGATTGTGTTAACAGCTTTTGTTGTATAATTACATTTAAAACTTGAATAAAAATAATTTTGAAAACTCTTCACATCAAGTTCTCTCTCTCTCTCTCTCTTATCTAATAAGAAGATCAAAAGAATTGTCAGTTAATGAATACACAATATGTCTGCACAAGTCTCTAATGTTCAATTGTTATATCTTCTTTTTTTTTTATCTTTTTACTGCAATAGATTTAGGACAAAGCTAATAAATGTTGTTTGAATTGACTATTATTATTGAGATAATACTGATTGTTAATAAGTGGAATAAATAATAGTTGATGACATAACTGATACGGAAGAAAATCTCAATTGAAATCTGTTTCAGATAAATACATCGTAGTTTATTTTTCTGATGCTATACATAATAGAAGTTCGACAAACAAAAAAAAACAAATGATATTCAAGTATTCTTGTTCGACTTTTCTATACGAACATTAATTGACAATGTGAAATTTAATCAAGGTAAATAAATACTTATTTTCAAATATAATGATATTTCTTACAAAATAAAATAATTCATTGATTTCATCTACTTGAATATATATAACAGAATTTTTCTCGGCAAATAAAAGAGAAAAATAAAAAGACAACTATCTTGTCATAGAACAAAGTAAACAATACAGCTTAGATCAACAAATCATTTTATTATTGATCAAACTTCTATTTTTCGGTCATTGTATTTATCTAAATAGATAGAAGCACTCGATGAGATTGAAAAACAAGCAATCAAGCAGTGAAAATACCTCGATTGGTTTTTGTCATAAATAACATATGAAAATTGCGTGTGTGAAAGATATCTTCCATTGCAGATAATAAAAAAAAGAAACCTAACTGATTATATACAGACGAACGGCATCATTCATTTAATGATAAGTATATGATGAAAGAAAGGATCAAGTACTCAGTAGGCATGAGAAAAAAGAAAACAAACTAGTATTGATTTCAATATATAACTATAAGAATGATATATATATATATACATATATTTCAGAGGTGAGCACGTCTCATTATTAATTTCTATTTATGATCCGTTTCCTTATTATATTAAGGTAAAGCTATACATGAACAACGAATATTAATCATATAGAAATGAATTTGATTAAGACATGCACAATTGATATATTACAATATAAAAGAAAAAACAGAAATTAACGAGACTTTCAAAGGATAAGAAATGTATCAATATTATCTTTTTTTTCTTTTTTTCCCTATTTCTTATTCCTTTTCTCTTCTCACATAAGAGAAGAAAGAGCAAAAAAAAAAAACTAGAAAAACTATAAACATGTAGATCTATATTAAATTGTTTGTCAGATAGAGAGCATAAGAGACACAAAAAAAAACCTCTTTCTTCAGCTTTTGACATTCACTAGAAGCAAGAGACAACCAGAGTAATAAAATCAATTTTTTGCTGATCTACTTAATACATACTACATTTTCAATCAATACTATTAATCAAATGCATATGTTTCCATTTGGTCATGTTGTATACATGCCTTTATCATCATCATCATCAACAACAACAACTTTATTAGGACCTATATCGACAGATTTTTCATCTTCTTCAATAATTCCTCTATATAATACAACACTATTAAACAATCCATTCAACATATACACAAATACGAAGTGTAAGTTTCCTTTATGAGAAAAGCTAAGTACTCGAAATAATAACTTCCCAAGAGTCATATAATAATGAATATTGACAAGCGGTACGAGTCCTTTTATTTATTGTCATATTGAATTATTTTATAGTCTAATATCATGTCAAAATAAATAAATTATGATAGATGATGACAATGTTTTATATCTTTAGTTGAATATAATGTTCATCGACAAACATTACCTCATAGATTCAAACGTATACGAGATGATTTTCATGATATACAAGAAAAAAAACGTCCTAAATTAACACCAACAATTAATAATAATTCATCAGCATTATCAAAAAATGCACTTATGTTATTACACGAACTTAAACCATCAATTGAATATAAACTTATGGCACAAACAGGTCCATCTCATCGACCTATGTTTACTATGGCTGTTGAACTTAACGGACAAGTATTTGAAGGTATAGCTCAAACAAAGAAAGAAGCTAAACAAGCAGGTAAATAATAATAATTAAATTTAATGATTATTATTATTATTTTCTCTTCTGATTAGCTGCTGAAAAAGCACTTCGATCATTTTCTCAAATATCTTTTCCATTGTCTAATAATTTAATAAATGATTTCATACCAATAAATATTAATAATAATCTATCAAATAAATCTATTGAAAATAATGATAATAATATTCAATTAAATATTTCTGAATCATATGAAAATCAAAATAATCTAAATCCATTTTATCTTCTTAAACAACTTAAACAAAATTTTCAATGTGAAGAAATTACAAATGAAATAATATCTGAACAAAATGAATTTAAATTTACTATTATTATTGATGATGAACATTTTATTGGTATAGGAGAAAATAAAAATATAGCTAAAACAAAAGCAGCACAATATGCTTTAGAAAAATTATTTGGCATGTCTTTTAATAAAAAAGGTAAAAAATATATTATTCAATTGAATAGAAAATATAATTCTTGTTTAATATATCTTCGTTTTTGTGAGTTCATTAAAAGAATTGGATTAGCTTATGGTAATAAAGCTTTTTATTTCCATTCATGTTAAAAAATAAAACTCTTTCATTAGAAACACACTAAAGTATTATTATAACTGAATATCTAGAAAACAAATAATCGATCAATTAGAATTAACAATATATATATATATACTTAAGTGTAAATAGCCAAAGTTTTCGGTGGCTAGTATTCAATGAATTTTGTGTATGATAGATGTAGGAAAAAGAAAGAAATTTGATTAGTGAATGAATGGTTGATTTAGAATTCATAGCGATCTTTTTTACATATAGAACGTTGCAAAAGTCTATTGGAAAATAAAATTTGAATAAGTCTTCATTAGTTCTATCAATTTACATGTTTGTTTCATCATTTGATTCCATACTCATATAAAATTTTATTCAACATATCGCATATAATATGACTATACCAGTATATATTAGAATACAAACTGTTTTAGGTGATTGTCAAATTTGATAAAGAAAAAATACAAAATAACGATGGTTTTAAAGAGTGATCTCAATACTTTGATGAAATTGATATTGTAGAAGATCAAAAGTATATTGAACATTTTAAAGTAATGACATAAGAAACAATTACTGAACTTCATATTGAAGGTGAAAGTACATCGATATGAAGTGTTTGATTGTTTGCAAATTTTGTTCAATAGGACTTTGAATCATGATAGAGATTAATTCAACAAAACAAGATTTATTCGGGATTCAATTCTAAAACAACACAAATTTTAGAGCAACATTTTTTTCTATTATGGGAGATTCAAAAACGGTAGTTCTATTCAATGAGCTTTATGCTTGTATCACTTACGAGAAACTCAGTCGAACTGATACCTGTTATTGAAGCTTATATTACAGCTACAAGAACACTTTGACGAAACTAACAAAAGTCTAAAAGCGATCATTCCCATGGACCACGGGAGCCAAATTAGATTCGTTTTAGTAAATTTTTAAGTACCTACCAATAAAAAGAGAAGTTTCTTTGTCAAAATGTTGAATATTTAAGTAAACTCAAATATTATATATCACGGTTTGTGACAAATGATTATTTTTTGCAATCCGATACTTCAACAAAAGAACATTGTTTTCTCTTGNACTTTCTTTCGTGTCTCACAGGTGTTATTGCACGGCATCTGAGAAAAAAAACGATCAAGGTTTTTTTCTCTCGTTCTACAGTTGTGCTGCTTCGAATTGATTTCCATTTGGGACTGCTTTCAGGACATTAAAGGTAAACTACAGCACAATTACCGATGCTCAACAACAAAAAATGTATGTTACTTAATCAATGCGACGATCATAGGAGGCCTTTGTTTAAGAATCACGCTTGATTGTATACTTCGGTAAGGTAGTGAGAAAGAAAGTTGATACGGGTTAGTGGTTCACCAATTCTAATTCTAAGGAATTCAAGTTCCAACTGTTGGCTTGGAATTGGTCGGAACTGGTTGGAATAGGAATTGGTGCATCCCTGTGTTGGATTGATTAGGTGATTACAAAACCAAGCGAAGGTACTTCGAAAACTTCAAAAATGGCCCAGGTTGTAGAGCTTTTGTCTGTTGATCATTTAATAAGAAACAAATTTACAATTGACTAAAAACTAACTATGCTGCGATTTAAATACAATGGGTGGGGGGTGGGTATGGCAGAGTTGGAGCCGGTCTGAAATTTTGACGACCAGTACCGGTCTAAAATGGTGAGATTGGACCGGACTGGCCAGTCTACCTGTTCGAGCGGTCTATCGGCAACCCGTCGGTCTACCGGTAATGGATGATACATCGATAACTCACATAATAGTATTAAGTCTAATAGAAGTTTTCAAATAAGTATATATAATACAAGCAGGACAGCATTTAAGCGAGACCGGTAACCGGCTGGTCTACCGGTTATTGGCCTGTCTGAAATTCGTACCGGTACCGGTTTCATCTCTGGCGTGTGGTTTTGGGTTTTGGTGTGGGTGTGGGTCTTCTTTCCTTCAATACCCACACCCACACCCCAAACCCATGCCCATATCCGAAGCCCACGCCCACACCCACAACCACACCCAAACTCACGCCCATATTCGAAGCCCACGCCCACACCCACACCCACACCCACACCCACGCACACCGACACCACACACCCACTAACGTCAAAGTTCGATGGAGAAAAGCATTAATAAAGAAAGTAGTGTTTCAAACCACTCGATAGTAATCAGCATATTAGAAGAATACTAAAGCATCAGTCTTTGTACTACAGTACGTCCGGTGCGTAAGTGAAAGCACCAAATATCTTTCAAATAGTATGCAATAGTTCTAACGAACCATCGTCATTTTCTAATGAGTGTAGTCTATAAGATCATAACTATTTGTGATCATCATTCTTATGTATGTTTGAAACAGTTGCAAAGAGTGATAGGCATAAGGGAATGTAATTTTGTTCACCTGTTTTCTCATCGGACGCAGCGCGAATTTTTAGATATAAATCTCACGAACTTATTTACTAGTTTCAGATTTGAAAAATGTCTATACCGGTAAAAACCAAAATAGATTGTGCGATGGGCGAAAATTGTTTTCCATCGGAAATGAAATATTTACGTTCAACAGATGCGAATTCTAATGATAGTATTACTGATGTAACAACAGCTAATGAATGGGCAGCAAATAAATTTGTTTGGGTACCTGATAAACAAGAAGGTTTTGTTTATGGTCAGATCTGCGAAGAACAAAATGATGGACAATTAATCGTTGATTTAGAAAATGGAAAACAAATTAGAATTTCCAGAGATGATATTCAACACACTAATCCTCCAAAATTTAGTAAAGTTGAAGATATGGCAGAATTAACTTGTTTAAACGATGCATCAGTTTTATTTAATTTAAAAGAACGTTATAATTTTCGATTCATTCACACCTATGCCGGTTTATTTTGTGTGGTCATTAATCCATATAGACGTTTACCAATCTACTCGGAAAATGTGATTAAAATGTATAAGGGAAAAAGACGTGAGCAAATGCCACCACATATATTTGCTGTTGTAGAGAATGCATATCGCTTAATGTCACAACATCAAAAAGATCAGTCGATTTTATGCACGTAAATGAAAACTAATTCAGTTGATTTCATCTTTGCTTTTGTTTCCTTAGAGGTGAATCTGGTGCTGGTAAAACTGAAAATACCAAAAATGTTCTTCAGTATCTAGCATACATTGCTTCTGCACCGAAATGCTTACAATGTCTTGAGGACAAGGGTGAAAGTGAACTTGAATCCCAACTTCTTCAAGCCAATTCAATTCTTGAAGCATTCGGTAATGCTAAAACAGTCAAAAATGATAATTCATCACGTTTTGGTAAATTTATTCGTATTAATTTTGATGCATCGAATTTTATTGCTAGTGCATCAGTTGAAACATATCTCTTAGAAAAATCTCGAATCCTCCGTCGGGCAAAAGAAGAACGTACATTTCATATTTTTTATCAATTGTTACGTGGTGCAAATACCACAATGATTAGCGATTACTTATTAGAAGATTTTAGTTGTTATCGATATATGACACAAGGAAATATGACAATACCAGGTACCGATGATGCTGAAGAATTTAAAAATACAGTTAAATCCATGCAAGTTATGAATATATCATCCAACGAACTGAATTCCATCTTTCGAACAATATCAGCTGTACTTCAAATGGGTAATATACAATTTAAACAACATAACAGTGATCAAGCAATCCTGCCAGATGATACTATTGCTCAAAAAGTTTGTCATTTATTAGGGATACCAGTTACAGACTTTGTTCGATCATTTTTAAAACCAAAACTCAAAGTTGGAGGAGAATTTGTCACTATAGATCAAACTCAAGCTCAAGTTGAATTTGCTGTGGAAGCTATATCGAAATCAATTTATGAACGGATGTTCAAATGGCTTGTAACACGTATTAATCGTTCACTAGATCAAAGTAAACGTCAAGGTTCATCATTTATTGGTATTCTCGATATTGCTGGTTTTGAAATCTTCCAATTAAACTCTTTTGAACAATTATGTATTAATTATACAAATGAAAAATTACAACAATTATTTAATCATACAATGTTTGTGCTTGAGCAAGACGAATATCGAAAAGAAAATATTGATTGGGAATTTGTGGATTTTGGATTAGATCTTCAACCTACAATTGATTTAATTGAAAATCAAATGGGAATATTGAGTTTATTAGATGAACAATGTTGGCTTCCGACGGCGACAGATGAAGGTTTTGTCGCTAAATTAATCAGTGCTCATGGGCGGCATAAAAAATTCATCAATATTCGCGATTCATATGCAGCAGGTAACTATAAGGATTTGAGTAAATGACAGGATATGTGTGTCTTTATAGAAAGCGGCTTACTCTGCCTGTTTGTTTATATAGTATCAAGTTCTATTGCGCACAGCTTTATCTATCCACGTATAAATGGTACAAAAGAGAATTCAATAACATAACGGGTGGCCCAGAAATAATGAAGGGTTCACTGTTTTTCGATTATCTCCGTTCTTTTTACCCACTTTTTTTGAAAAATACCCAATTTAATACACTAAAGCCATAGAAAAGCGTTCAGATTGGACTATTCTAAATCCATTCCGTAACATGAACAGTGAAGACTTGAAGAAGCTTGTACTGTCAAAGTACGAAAATGGCGATGGAACGACGAAGATTTTTAGGGACTTCAACGGTGCCATCAATCTTTCAACATTCGAGCTGTGGTGCAGAAGAATCCGTGAAGTTGGTTCTATAGGTTTAGTCAATCCACCTGGACGTTCAAGAACGATTCAAACAAATGCAGCGATTCAAAAAGTTTAAAGACGATTAAAGCGACAAAAGCCACTGTCCTCTCTAAAACTAGCTCGTGAATTGGGTATTTCTCGGAGTAGTGTTCAGAGAATACTCAAAAATGATCTAGAATTCCAGGCATATAAGGTACAAAAAGAAACATTGCTCGCCGATGAGCATAAAGAAAAGACTGAAGTTTGCAAATTGGATACGAACAAATTTCCGAGAAGAAGACACGATGAATATTCTGTTTTTAGACGAGAAAATGTTCGATATTGACGAAGTCTGTAACTCTCAAAATGACCGAATATGGGCGGTAAATCATGCAGCAGCCGATATCAAAGGTGGTATTAGGCAAAAAACGTAAATTTCCGCAAAGTAGTGGTTTGGCTTGCAGTTTGTTCTAAAGGTGTATCATCTTTAGTAATTTTCGAGAGTAACACACTTGATCATGATCAGTACATCAAGAAAGTGCTCCCAGTTGCCCTCAAATATGGCAATGACATGTTTGGAAACGATTGGACCTTTCATCAAGACAGTGCAAAGACGCACGTCCATGCAAAATCACAGGAATGGTGTGTCAACAGTATTCCTTCGTTCATTGACAAGGACCATCGGCTTCCAAATAGTCCTGATGTGAACCCATTAGATTATTGTATTTGAGACGAATTCGCACAAGTGATCAAGTGGAATACAGTGGCATCTAAAAAGACACCCATTGCTGCGTTAAAACGTACTATCAAAGAGATTTCAAAGGCTGATGCCTTTGAAAGTTGCTTGCCTTGGGCTAATCGATTATATCGAATACCCCAAGACAAGGGAAATTACCTTAGATCATAAAATACACCTGTTTTGTAGAGAACTGAGCGGCGAATTTTTCAAAAAAAATCAGATCAAAAGAGTAGAGATTGACGGAGATGTTTGAAAAATACTAAACCCTTCATTATTTCTGGACCACCCGTTATATAATAATACGCAGGAAGAGTTCTTCTCTACAAAACCACGCATATCTTGTTCTTAAGTCAAAAATCACTGTGAAAATTATAGGCAGAATGGAAAAGTTCACGGATGGAATACCAAATATTTTTATCATTATTCATTATGCCGGGAAAGTGAGATATTCAGCTGATCAATGGTTAATGAAAAACATGGATCCATTAAATGATAGTGTTGTTGGACTTTTACAAAGAGCAGATGATCGATTTATACAAGAAATTTGGAAAGATAGTAAGTACAAATTCACTTCGAAAGATGATTTTAATCAAATTCTAATCTCTAGCAATTATTTGGAGACAGAGATCGAATCTTATTCTTCCTAATACAGTTATAATGCTTAATTTGCATGAGTTTTGACGCAGAAAAATTTTTAAGTGCTGCAAAATTCTGTTATTGAGAAATAATTAGTCGAAACTTTAATTTTTCTTTCAGGGGAATTTGTCAGTTTATCAAATGTTAACACAAATGATACGACATCAACTTCAAAAGGAAATATTAAAAAAAGGCAGATTTCGAACGGTTGGTGAACTTTATAAACAACAATTAAAAAAATTAATGAGTATATTGAAAAATACCTATCCGAATTTTGTTCGATGTATTCTGCCAAATGAAGAGAAAAAAGTAGGTTTTCGTCTCATTTCCATCGAAATTTTATTCTCTTTTTGTTTTACAGGCAGCTGTTATTAATTCACCATTTGTTTTAAACCAATTCGATATTTCCCTTCATCTAATTTAAGCTGTTTTATCATTTCTTGCGAGACAGTTTTGCTATCCATGNTTTATAATGAATCAATAAATTAGGATAACTTAAGATAATCTAAGTCGCTCTTTGTTAGCTAAAAGAATACTAAAAACTAACTATTCTTACACAAAACTCAATAACATATGGCTAAATGGAAGAAAAAAAAACAATTAACAGTACAACATTCATGACTTAGAATAATCTGTTTAGTTGCGCAACAGTAAAAATCAAGGTTGAAGTGTCATTAGTTTCTCTGCAAATTGCCTCTCATAAATTTAAGGCTACACACAAAATATATTTCACAAAGCGTAATAGAATTTCATGGATTTTCCAAAAACATGTTTCAGAAAACCTACAGTTTTGACTGAATGCAATTTTTTTTGAATTAAAATTACTATTCTTTCTAATAGAAAAAAAATCCTGTTTTCAGAAGTGATGATAATGGGTTATCGAAAAGTAATTTGACAAAACGTTCGTTCATTTTTTTCAGGTTCTTAAAATATGCCAGCAGAAATTTGAAAACATCAAGTCGGATTCACAATTTTGTATTTTATTTTCATTTAGTTTAAAACATCAAATATTAAAAGATCTTCTATGCAAAAAATGCCAACTTTCTCTGTTCAAACTTAATTTTGTCGCGTCTCTAAAAAAACATCTTCTCATAACTGCTAAAAAGAGAAATATTGAATCTATTATATTCGGAAACTACAATGTTTTCAAACTTATTGCAGAGACTAAAAAATGACTATTCGATAATCCGTTATAGGGAGGAAAATTTATCGTCATTTTACGACATTTAATAGTGATATTTAAAATATTATTTATCAATTTTCTTCTAGTTATGAACTTCTCTGTCCAAATGTTATTCCAAAAGGATTTATGGATGGTAAAGCTGCATCACAAAAAATGGTAAATCTTATATATAGAAAATAAATACAAATAAAACAAGCTGAATTATTCTCATTTTAGATCAAAGAACTTGAACTTGATGATAATCTTTATCGAATTGGTCTTACAAAAATCTTCTTTCGTTCAGGTGTACTTGGTCATTTAGAAGAAGAACGTGATCTTAAATTAACTGATATAATAACACAACTTCAAGCATTATGTCGTGGTGTACTTGCTCGAAAGTAAATTATTTTTATTTTTTTCTAAGAAGAAAAATAAATATTTTTGTTTATTGTTTTGAAGAAATTATCAACGACGTATTCAACAATTAAATGCTATTCGTGTTATTCAACGTAATGGTCGTGCATTAATGAAAATTCGCAATTGGAAATGGTGGCGTTTATTTACAAAAATAAAACCTTTATTACAAGTAACAAGACAAGATGAAGAATTAACACAAAAACAAGAAGAAATACGTCGAATGAAAACTGAAATGGAATCACGTACATTACAAATACAAGAAACTGAACAACAATTACAAATGGTTCAACAAGAACGAACTGTTATTAATGAACGTCTTATACATTTAACTGAAGCTTTAGTTGAATCGGATGAAGTAAGGAGAAAAAGAAATATTTCAATGATTTAATTGAATTTTTATTATTAGAATTTACGACGAGTACAAACACGTAAAATGGAACTTGAAAATATGGTACAAGAAATAGAACAACGTTTAGAAGAAGAAATGGAACGAAGTAATGGATGGACAAACGAAAGAAAACAATTAGAACAAAAATTACAAGATATAACTGAACAGTAAGTTTTTTTCTTTCTCAAAAAACCAAAAACAAAAAAAAAAAAAAATTGTTTTCAGACTTGAAGAAGAAGAACATGGTCGACAAAAATTACAAATTGAACGTGTACAATTTGAAGGAAAAATTAAAAATTTTGAAGATATTGTTGCTAGTCAACAAAATGAACTTAGCAAAGTAATTTATTATAAAAAAAAAAATAATTATTTGATTTAATTCAATTTTTTTTTTTAGTTACAAAAAGAACGTAAATTTCTTGAAGATAAACTTCAAGAAGTTGTTCATCAACAACAAGATGAAGGCGAAAAATTAAAAAATCTTCTTCGACTTAAAACAAAACAAGAAAGTCAATGTGCTGATCTTGAAGAACGATTAAAACGTGAAATTGAAGTAAATTTTCATTAAAGGAATTTTTCTTGGTTTCGATCAATCTAATCTAGAAGAAACTATTCCAAAATTTTATCGAGTCATATATAAATAGACTGGCTTAATACTTGTTTTTTGTAGGAGGCATCTGTTTTGAATTATGCTCTAATTGCAAAGCACTTGTACTGAAGTCATATCTGAGAATAGGAACAACGAAAAGATCTGAAATTTTCGCTAAGATCCGTCTCTATGTAAAATTTCAAGTAGAAAATCGAATATCAACTTTCCTGATGTTAGAGGAAATCACAGCATTATGTTAAAATATATCATATTGCTATAGTATCTCTGCAACAAGCACCTAAGAACCTACACTCTTTTCAGAGTATTCATAGATCCTTTGAGTTTCCATGATGCACATAGTCCAAAACTCGAAAGTTATTAATTAGTTTGAAGAAGTCTCTCATGAGCCTGAATCCATCATGATGTAAGTGGATGACTTTATACTATCTGTTATATTTCAATTTTATAATGCTACTAGGAGAATATTAAGTTTCAACTTGAAAACAATGTAGATTCACGGATCTCGAATAGTAAAATATATATTGAACAAAATGAATCCATCAGGATTTATAATAGAGAAAAGAAATGATCAGTAGAATATCACATATCATTAAAGAAATCATCCGAACAACTTTTTCCGTTTTAAACTTATTTTTACAACATACAGAAAACATCTCTACACTACTGGAATAGCCTAAAAAAAAAAAACCATTCAAAATATAAACCTTCTGTATAAAGTTAAAAGTTTCATTAAAATTGATCAAATTTTTCTAACGAAATCCAGCAAACCTATCTATTCCAAATCAGTAGTATCTTTAATTCATAATCAAATTTTTTCTTAGCTTCGTCAAAAATTAGAACGTGAAATACGTCGTCTTGAAGGTGAAGTCCAAGAACTTCGTGAACAATTACAAGATCGTATGCAACAAATACACGATTTACAAGTACATTTAGCACGACGTGAAGAAGAATTAACACAAGCTGTGACAAATATTGAAACAGAAGCAGCAACAAAAGTAACATTTCAACGTCAAATACGTGAATTTCAAACAAGTATACAAGATTTACAAGATGATATGGAAAGTGAAAAAGAATCACGTAAACGTTTAGAACGTGAAAAACGTGAATTAATGGAAGAAAATGAATCATTACGTAATGAATTACTTGATCGTAAAGATATCAATCAAGTTATGCTTGAACGTGAAAAAAAACGTGAAGAAGAAGTTTTAACATTAAAACGTTCATTAGAACAAGTACATGAAGAACGTGAATCAATTATAGGTGAATTACGTTTAAAATATACAAAACAAATTGAAGATTTAACAAGTCAATTTGAAAATACAAAAAAACAATTTCAAACATTAATTAAAGATCGTCAACAACAACAAACTGATATAAATGAACGTGATAATGAAATTAAAAATTTAAATATACAAAAACAAGATATTGAACGTAAACGTCGACAATTAGAAACTTATGTACAAGAACTTCAACATAAATATAATGATAGTGAACGTTTAAAAACTGAAAATATTGATAAATTACAACGTTATCAACAAGATATTGAATCAATAAATGCAGCATTTATTGAAACGGAACAACGTGCACAAAATCATGAACGTACAATAACTATGTTAAGACAAGATATACAAGAATTACAAGAAAATCTTCAAGAAGAAAATCGTCAAAAAATGAATGTATTAACTAAACTTCGTCAAACAGAAGATTTACTTAATGAATTAAAAGATCAATTAGATGATAAAGAAGAAGAACGTCATAAAACTGATGGTAAACTTCAACAATTAACACAACAAAATACTGAATTACGTCGACAAGCTGAACAAGTTAATGTTGAACAAATGGAAGAATTACGTCGACAACTTCAACGTGAAAAAGAAACAATATTAAAACAATTAGATGATGAAAAATTAATAAATACAAAAATAACAAAATCAAATCAAAAATTTTCTAATGATATTGCTGATATAACTGTTGAATTAGAACGTTATCGTACAATTGTACAAAATGTTGAAAAACAACAACGTTCATTTGATAAACGTATACAGGATGAAAAAATTTTACAAGATAAATTACGACAAGAACGTGATCAAAATGAACGTGAAATACGTGAAAAAGAAACACAACGTTTAAATTTATTAAGAGATTTAGAAGAACGAAATTTAGCATATGATGATTTAGAAAAACGTTTTAGACAATTACGTACTGAACTTGATGATATGCTTTCAACTAAAGATGATATTGGAAAAAATATTCATGAATTAGAAAGAATTAAACGAGCACTTGGTAAGACAAAAAAAAATATATATATATATTTCGGTTTTTTTTCTTTTTCTAACGATTTAAATTAGTCAAAACAAGCGATTGAATTAATTTATTTAGTTAATAATCCTATAGTATGTATTTATTATATGACGCAGATAGAGATCAACAAAAATATACTTGACTTGCTTGTCAAATAGTTTTATTTTGTCAGATATTAATTTTCTCGATAACATGAGGATTTTTTGATTAATTCGATGTGGCAACTATTAGTCTTTTTTTCAGTTTCGAGTGATTTTCATTTTTAATTAAATATGTGCCTCTCTCAAAAATCGATCTTGGATCATGTGTACTCATATAGCATGAAATTTTCAGTCCTTATATCATAACATTCGAGGGAAATATTTAGCAAACATGTTTTGGTAGTCTCAAATTTTCTGTGAGCCTTCATTTTATATATTTTGTTTTGTTTCAAAGAGTATGTTTCTTTCTTTTTTTTGTAAACTCTTACTTTTGTCATGCGAAGAAAAATGCTTATTTCTTTACACAATTGCATACTAATTCAAAACACGAGCATTATAGTTTTATATGCTCTTTCAAACAAAACAAAATATGACTACAATGAAGCTTCTTCGAGAATCCTGGAAAATCATACTTAGAGAAAATAGTAAAAAGGATTGCCTATTTTTCCTATACATTGATCTAAATTTCGATTCTTTTTTTAAGGAGGCAGCCCTAACAAAAGATGTTTGACAGATATGAAAATAAATTTGAATTTGTAAAGATAATAAAAAAAAAACACGTTTATTATTTTCTTTGCAGAGGCAACTGTTGATGAGCAAAAACAACAAATTATTGAACTTGAAGATGAATTACAAACAGCTGAAGATGCACGTTTACGTTGTGAAGTCAATATAGGTGCACTTAAACAACAAATGGAAAAACATGCACATGAAAATAACGAACAAATTGAAGATCGTATGCGTTCATTAAATAAACAATTAAAAGAATATGAATTAGAACTTGATGAAGAAAGAAAATCGAAACAACAAATTCTTCAACAACGTAAAAAAATTGAAATTGATCTTCAAGATTCACGTCAACAAATTGACGAAGCTAATAAACAAAAAGAAGAAGCATTACGTAATACACGTCGATTACAAGTAATTATCCTATACATATATATATATTACTTTATTTTGTGAAAGCGGACGAGAGTAGCAGATCTAGAATTTTTATGATGGAGGCGTTCATAAAACATGTTTTAAAACTGAGTAGAATTAATATCAGCTTATTTTTTCAGGCGATCGTCCCTCAGCACCTCCCGCACTAAATCCATCACTGACAGACGTAACCATGGAAATGTCACAGATCGTGACAGTTGTTGTTGATATTCGGTCAAAGATCGTATATCAATAATGCTTTGTTATAATAAATAAATTACTTTCCTATTGCATTTTAAGAGGATTACATAAAAGAATAATGAAGAAATCTGTTCCAAAAATACAAACACTAAAGCGATTTCTCTAGAATTATCAACAATAACTACATTAAAGGATTCTAGAAACATTTTGTCGAATTTTTTCTATATCAATTGTTTAATATATTTTTATAGACTCAAATTCGTGAAGTAACACGTGAAATGGAAGAAATTAAAGTCATACGTAATGAATCTTTGATGAATGCTAAAGAATGGCAAACAAAAATAAAAACTCTCGAACAAAGTCTTCAACAATTAATGGATGAAAAAGATCTTGTTGATCGACAACGTCGTCAAGCACAATTAGAACGTGATGAACTTCAACAAGAATTAGCTGCTATTGGTAGTGGAAAGTATGTTTAGTTTTTGTTTTGTTTTCAATTTTGAATAAGAAAAATAAATCATTATTTTTCTTTTTTTTTTCAGAGGTGCATTTATTGATGAAAAACGTCGACTTGAAGCACGTATAGCACAATTAGAAGAAGAATTAGAAGAAGAACAAACAAATACAGAAATAATTGGTGATAAACATAAAAAATTAGCAATAACTGTTGAGCAACTTATGCTTGATCTTGCTGCTGAAAAAGCTAATAATCAAAAAGCTGAAGTAAGTTAATCTTAGACAATAAAAAGAATATTTGAATAAAATTTGATATATATGTTCTAGGCTGTACGTGGTAATCTTGAACGACAAAATCGAGATTTACGTGAAAAACTTGAAGAAAGTGAAGAATTTGGCAAAGGAAAATCAAGAGCCATGCTTGGAGCACTTGAAGCCAAAGTTCATGCACTTGAAGAACAACTCGATGGTGAAGTTCGGTATGTATAGAAAAACAAAATAACATTTTAATCATATTTCATATTTCGTTTATATCTGTTTATAGAGAAAAACAAAAAATTAGTCGAACTGTTCGTACACTTGAAAAACGTCTTCGTGACGCTGCTGCTCTTGCTGATGAATCTCGAAAACAAGCAGATGGTTATAAAGAACAAGTAATTATATAATTTCATATTCGAAAAAAAAAAGGAATTTTTTATTTTCTTTTCGTTTTTTAAAGGCCGAAAAAGGAAGTGTGCGTGTACGCAATATGAAACGAAGAGAAGAAGAATTAGAAGAAGAAGTAACACAAATGAAACAACGTTTACGTAAAGCCTTACGAGAAAAAGATGAAATTGAAGAAAATCCAGCTTATCAACGAACACGGTAAGAATAAAATTTCATTCGATCTTTAATGTTTTGTTTTTGTTTCGTTCTCTATCTAATAAGATCAGTTTTGTTTTTTGAAATGTTAATTTAAAATTCTTAAACTTGTTTTTTTTGTTTCTTAACTAATCTTAAATCAGAAGAGAACCACCACCTATCACTGATCTTACATCCAATCGAGTCGCCAAATTAAATGACGATAAAAATAATGAGGTATTCAATCTATTTTTTTTATCAATCGCTTTTTGCGCAATGCTTATCCTTTTTCTTTTTCTCGTGCACATAAATATTTAAATCTTTAATTATAGTCAAACTGTTAGTTCCGTTCCCAACAGGTAAGATGATGACACAACAAATGCATGTATTGAAAGACTCCGAAAACTATCGCATGTCAATATTATATTAAAATTGAATTTTTCCTTGTTACCAATTAGTTCTCGACATAATTCCCATGACTTTCAATGACCAATAAGGTTCGATTAATGTTGTATTGTCTCAATGTATACAAGACTTAGCTTTTTGTCTATATGCTTTTCTAATTTATATTCACTATTTCTTTGTTTTTTTTTATTATTAATAAAATATTTCTTTTCTTTTTTTATTATTTTAGCCCTTCAGCAGCTCATAGTTCTTCAACATCTTACGTTCGAACACTTGTAACATCAACAAAATATTATTCCGAATTATCTGATGATGATTTACAATCTGAAGCAACAAACGCAAGTGTATCAGAGACACTTAATGGTGGTAATTCAACAATACGAAACAGTGCTGCTGGCGATTTAAATAATGGCAATCATTGAGGAAAAAAAATAATAATAAACAAAAAAAAAAAAAAAGCCAATCACACTGTTATTGTTTATCCTCATTTTTCATTTGTCTCATACACAGTGAGCGTTATTCTCTATCGCATTTTGCTTGTGTGTTTGTGCGTGTGTGTGTGTGTGTGTAATTTCATTTCTTTTCTCGCTCTTCTTATATATGTCTGCTTATTTTTCCAAATGTGAACATAGCCTTGCTCAGGGTTAGAGCTCCTCCTCATTGTCATTTTTCTTTATTCTTCATTTTATCTTTGCTACCTCTGTTAGACATTCTGTCTTTAAAAAGAAAAAAAAAAGAAAAAAAAACATCGAAATGATTACATTCCATTATCTACTAAAACATATTGAGCCGGCCACCAAAATCTATACCATTTCTATATACATATATATATATATATATTACGCTGCCTTGATGCTATCAGTATTCGGCGTTTGTCTCTTTGTTCTATGCGTTACTTTTCTTTTTTTTTTATACTTTCGTTCTCTTTAAACATAAAATATAGTCTCTCTATATTCCTTAAAATATATATAAACAAAAAAAAAAAAAAACTAAGTTCCTTTGAATTTTATTGATTACAACAACAATAGCATATGAATATAAAAGAAAATAAACATAATAAACAGCATGTATCGATATAAATAAGGATGGTTTGACATAGAAATAAAGTACATGTATAAGCAATAATACGACCTAAATAACGAAGAGCTAATGATTGAGCAAATGTTGATGATGAAGAAAATTTCATTGAATTACATATAGAATCTAGAAAATAGATTTAATTAATTCTTGTTTTTTATTTCAAATAGAAATTACTTACAAATAGAAATTGTTGACCATAAACCAAGAATAATTCCATAAGAAAAAAATAGAATATATTTCAAAGTTATTGGTTGAATATTATATAGATCATTTTGTATTCGAATGATAAATAATAAAATGATTGTTATTAAATGAAGAAGTGTTGTAAATGATACACAAGTCTAAATAAACAAAAAATTTAGGAAAAAGAAAAAAATTTTGTTTTTCGACGAAAAATTTTTCTTTTACCATCATTGTCATACGTTTTATGATCAAAGCCAATAATATACTTGATATTGTTGCACCTACTCCATAGATAATTAACATTTCGGCTGTATGTTGAAGACCATAAAGACATGTTATATCAAACTAAATGGTATATAGAAAAAAACTTCTAAATGCTATCTGATTATATTCATATTATAAGTTTTTGATTAAGACATAAATCTCTTTGAAATAACGATGAAAGATAAAAATTTGACTTTTATTTTCAATAGATTCTTGCATCTAGTTGGGCTGATAAACTCAACAAAATCCGTCCCTAGGCGCATCGACTAGAGTAGCCGTTTCTTACAGTTAGTCTGATGCATGTGTTGATCACACACAATGTACATTGATAGTGCACAAGAGTCGTTCAAGTTATGTTGAGTAGGAAAGAACTACTCGATATTTATCAACTCGATCCAATATAGGACTCCAATCTTCAAATTCTGTCAAAATTAATTCGAACCCGACATTAACAATTTTCGTCAGAATTGTAATATGCAGCGCTCATAGAGAACTTTTTTTATTATTATCGCAGTGAAATATATTTTTCAATGAAATCTCGGCAACATAAAACTTGTAAGCTCTGTTTTTTAATAGATACAGTTTAAAATCCATTAAACATTTTACTTGACGAGATTTCTATTATATTAAATACGATGTTGCATTCGGACATCTTCTTTTACTTGTGTTTCACACTTCATATTATCACTAATAGGGATCAACTAGTCCCCAATTCGAAGTTCATATCAAAAGTGCAAAAGTTTTTTTCGAACGATCAGTTCAGATCTTAACATAGGAAATTCTAAGTAATGTTTTTACTAGTTAATCTTTGAAAAATAAAATTAGATATGAACTTTTGTAATTACTTTAATAATGTTTCCAAAAAGATAACCTTCTTGAAAACCAATAAATAAAGCAAATAAATAATGTTTATAATGAATAATTTTTGATGTATCATTTAATAAATCTTTATTTGAATAATATAATATTGATAATCGTCTACTCATACTCATTATTGATGTTGTCCATTCAGTACTAACTTGTATACATAAACTAATTATTATTAATATAATTAAACAAACAAAAAATATATAACGTGTTGATTCATTTATCCATACTAGAAAATAATCTTATTCGATTAAATAAAAGATAAATCGTTTTTCTTTTTTATTAAAATCTACCTTGTTGAGTTTTTGTTAAATACATCGTTAAATTTATTGACATTGATTGTGATAATGGTTTTAATAATTGTTTATTATCATCTTGTTGATTTGTTAATTGTAAACATGGAATTAAAATACATGATGGAGAACCAATTAATATATATTTATATTTTCTTTGTTCAAATAAAATAACAATTAAAAGACAAGTTCCACCAATAATTAATGCTAAATGACATATAGAATTATAGATACATATAAATATATTAATACGTTTCGTTAATAATTTATTATTTTCAATTGGTAATGTTGCTGATAATTGTAATAAATGATCAAATATTTTTATTATCAAACAACTAAGACTAATACCAGTTATACTTGTACTCATAAGTAAAAGAAAATAAAATGAATAAAAATATTGTATTATGATCCATGTTGAAGTAAATATAGTTGTAATTATAATTAAAATTTGTGAACAACGATCATATGCAAGTATATCAGAAATTTTCCAACGATAACGTGTTAATTGAATATGTGATATATATACAGCACATATAAATGCAGAAATTGATGAACTTAAATGTAATGTTAATAATATTTGAAAACTATGTTCAATTGAATAGATTGATGTTTGAAGTACTTCAATTGTAAATAAACATGCTAAAACAAAAACTGTTGCAAACGAACGAAGAAATACAATTCGATAAATAGATATGATTGATATTATTGATGAATTTAAACAATCATTTCTTTCATTTAATGATTCATTAGTAATTAATGAATTACTAGTTACAAATGGATTTGTTGATGAAAATATTCCACAAGACTTATGATGAGCAGGATGAAGAGCATGAACAGGAGAATCAAGTAAAAATGTTGCACTTTCTAATAAAATATCATTATTAGGAGAATGAACTACTGGTTGACTAATACTTCGTTGTATATAATCATTTTCACAATATGAACAACCATCAGACATTGTACACAGTGATCGAGTTGTATTAATATGATCAATAATAGAAGATATTGATGAAGTTGTAGAACATAAAAATTCTAGACGATCTTGTTTTGATGTACGAATAGCCATTTGATAACTATTTCTACGTAGTTGTATATTATTTGGAATTGTCGAATAATACCGATGATCAACAGAAGTATTTGTAAAATTTTCAGAAAAATAATTGACGTTATCGTTCATGTTTTATGAAGAAAAATCTTTATAATATTGAATATGTCATAATGAATGAAATACTCGATAGAAGAAAAAAAAAGAAACTCACTTGTTCATCTTGTCAGAATCCATTGGATATTTAACAAAACTAACAATAGGAAAAGAAAAGAAACTTGTCACATGCACCAATGAATATTGACATTAATTAATTGGATCTCTTCTACGTTTTTCTGTTGTCTATTTAGTCGACATCTGTCAATTAGATTTCTTAGAGATTTGCTTGTACATGAATGATGTGTTTTGTCTTTACTTGTTATCTACGATTAATATGTCGACAAATCTTCTATCATATCAAAAGTTACCTTCATATTTTATATTTCGTTGAATAGTAGTAGCATTAGTCCTTCATTTTATTCTACTTTCCGGTGACTTTCAAATGCGTGTGTCAGACGAAAAAAGATCTATCACTCGTGTTTCCGTTTTTTTTAACAACACGCTACAATCAACCGAATCGTTCTGATCAGATACTCAAAGCAATCATAACAATAAAACAGCTTTCTCTAGGTTTTCTTTCTTGTCATTGTCATTGTCATCGGCAGCCTCATATTCTCTAGTACTCTTTTCTTTTATGATAACGTCATGTAACAGAAAGGAAATAGGCTACTTGTTCAATAGTCCTTGTCTTATTCAGCAAATCGAGAGAAAAAAAGAAAACAAAAAAAAAAAAACGATTCCATTCGCAAAGATTAGCATAATAATATGCGCTTGAAAGAGGTTTTTATCAAACAATAAGTTTGTTTAAAACAAAAGAAAAAATCAGTCGATTAGTGATGATGAGTTTACTGTTGAATTAAAAAAAGAAAACAAAATTTAACTGAGTTCGTCATCATCCATTTGATTGATTTAAGTTTCTACAATCAATTTCACTGATTACATTGTTTCATGTTTCTACTTTCTTTATCTTCATAACTTTCGGTCTGTAAATGTGTTGATAGATCGACGAATGTAATACTGAAATCTCTAGAACAACTAAAATTTATTCTGATAATCATCTGGAAAGACACAAAACAAAGATGTGTACATCGTTGCAAGCTTCTGCAATTCGAGCTTTATTTTTATTAATGATAAAGACAAAAAAAAAACATAATGTGGGATAGAGTTTCTTTTGTTGATTTCATCTGGTTAATGGCTACAATTACAACAAGATATTATATTGTTATTTTTTTTTGTGTAACAAAGAGAGCAAAAGAAATAGGAAGTATAAATGCTGGTTTTAAGAGTTTATAAATATTCGATATAATTTTCTTTAGAACAAAAATGATGTATGTAAAATTAAAATAATTCTTAATCTTTTTCAAGTATTTTTAAGAAAATTCTTTATTTATTCATCGATTAGAACAGAAAAATGCCAAAAAAAAGAATGTTCTTCTCGATTCTTTTTTGTTCGTTGATAATAAATATTAATGTCCAAACAACATATTTAATAATAAAGAAAAATTCAAATCCTATACTAATCACCAAAGAAAAATCTAAAATAGAATACAATATCTTATAAAATGAGACACTCTCCTCACTTTCTCATTGGCAATTCTTTTCCGACCACCTTAAATTAATAATATCTACTCAACAATTTTGAGATTATGAAAAAGAACAATAACAGTTGGCTATTCCAGCAATGATGAGAACATCAAACAAGTGCTTGATTCTTTTTCAAGATGTAACTACACAACGACAAATCATTGAAGAAATCTTATAACTAAATTGAATTCAAAGTGCAACATACAACAAAATTTATTTGAATACTGTAGTAAAATGTTCGTTCTTCAACGAACCTGGATTGAATAATGTTAATGAATTTGCGCAAAAATATCATAATCAAGCATGTTTTTCACGTATGCAATGTCGATATTATGATCAAAATGAATCTGTTTCCCTTCGACGATAGGTGTACGGAAGGCGTGGGTGGTGCTGAGCGATGACTCAAGAGACCGATTGAAAGATTTTTGTTGAAATTGACCAGAGTCCGAAAGTTCAAGCACTTTTTTCAGAATTGGTGAGTAAGAATATAAAAAATCGCTGTAACTTCAGTGAAGAAAAACGAAAATTTCTCAAGATTGAAGGGAGCGAATTTCAACTCTTCCTGCTCGTTCAAGAGCAATATGTTAGTCAAAAAGAGAATATAAAGCCAATTACAGATGGATGAAGATTTAAAAAAAAAAAATGTTTGTCAATAATCAATGAATGGTTTTTCAGTAATCGCAGAAAAGAATAACAGTATAGTATGAAAAATCCACTACCTGCCATGATTCAGAAATGATCACGGACTTATCAGACAAGTGTAATAACAGCAACTATAGTGCCACCAATAGTTTCCAAATAAATGAATAAAATCTTTTACTCAATCAGATATAACTTTTGTTGAGCGACAAATTTCACAAAAATTGAATTGTTCATCATCAACGTATCGAAGATTATCAAATTGGGTGTGAGTGTTGGCTTTTTAGTTCGAATTTCCACTCGATAATATTTACAGTTATACCCACACTCACAATCACAACTAACGCACATACCCGCGCAACGGCACAGACAACCTACATTAACACTGTTACTCACACACATATCTTTACCTTCGTCATTTTTTGAATATTCAGTGCATCCATACTCGAGGAATATAACTGTGGATGAAATTTGTTTTCCAATGTTTCTCGTTGTCTTTTATTTCTCAATTTGTCTTCAATGAAATGATTGCGAATACTCATCAAGCGATTTAGTTTCTGGAACGAAGATTTGAACGAAGCAAGTTTATTTGCTAGTGTTTTTCCTATTTTTTGTCTTGGTGAACGTCACTTCAGTAGAAGGTTAGAAAGTACTGACTAGCTATGTGCACGCTTTACTCCATGATAAACAAATGTGCCCTCTATAGCTGAAACTTTTTGTGCTTCACCAAATGAAGTATGGGTTATTAATATATTATTTCCAAATGTTTTCATATGTGTTTTATGAATTTCACTATTCATATGCTTTCTTCAAGCTGATTTTCTTTCACGAATGCTAAAAGTTTTTAAACAAGCTTTACAACGAGCTTGTTTGCAATCATTTTTCACTGCCTGTAACCAAGATGACAATTCTTTATCTAATGTCCACTTCTTTTTAAAAACACCTTTCTTTTCTCTCTTTTTGGAATTTGAAATTGTTGTTGGTTGAATAGATTCTTGTTCTTCTACACTCACGGTCATACCAATAGACGAATCATCTGATTTATCATCCATAATCACGTTCAGTTTATTCTGAAATATAGCTTTTAAAATGCAAAACGACATATTTATTTACACTTAGATTAAGGTTTTTAGAGATATTATTTATTTATATGACTTCTTTGAAAACTAAACATTGATTGAAGCTATTTTAACAAATCTTAGACGAGATGAGATTTGAAGAAAAAATTATCATATTAAATCTTCTCTTCTTATTTGTAAGAATAAAATCAATTGTCCCATGATTATAAGAAAATAAAGATGGCTCCATATGAAATCTATCAAAATTTATATGGAAAATTGTAATAGAAAGGAAATCTAAAAAAAAAATACTAGGATTCGGAAAAAATTCAAAAATTCAGATAAATTCGGAAAGTCGGACGGCAGTCGGAAAAACTTAGGAAATTCTGAAAATTCCGACTAATTTGGACGATCTGGCAACCCTGGGCGTAACAAGAGTAGAAACGAGTTTATGCGGTGACTTTTTTAAAGTGATTTCCTCTATAAATCTTCAATCAATCGTTTAATATAATTTTGAATTTTCACATAAGATATGAAATGTCAAGTTCTATAAAAGAGTCCAATGTTAAATTGCTCTATTGTAGGATATCATCACGTTGAACATCGTGAGAAATAGTAACAAATAATTCAATATCGTTGGTTAAATTAGGGTGTGGATGTGGTGGTGGGGTATGGGTGTGGGTGTGGGCATGGGTGTGGGTGTGAGTGCAGGTGTGGATACGAGTGAACACAGAGCACACCCACACCCACCCACACCTACACTCCACACTCCACACTCACACCAACACCCACACCCTCACACCCACACCCACACTCACACCCACCCACACCCTCACCCACACCCACACCCACACCCACACTCCACACTCCACACCCACACCCACACCCACCCACACCCACACCCTCGAAGGGTGCCAAATCAGGTGAATACGGTAGATGGGGTAAGAACTCCCAGTTTGATTCTTCCAGCTTTTTGCTGGTGACCTTTGCTGCATGAGGTCTGGTATTGTCATGAAGTAGTCGAACTTTACGCCATTCTGGACGCTTGGTTTTCAGTGCAACTTTCAAATTTTGGAGTTGTTTGCAGTAGAGCTCCGAGTCTATTGTGGTGCCAGGAGGGAGAAGTTTCCAATAGATGATATCTTGAAGGGTGTGGGTATCCTGTGTCTGTGAGCCATGATGGTGGGTGGCGTATTGGTGTATTCATATTCTCTTCTCTTCAAAACACCCACACCCTAGCCAAGATATAATTAGTATATGAAATTTTTTGACTGATTTAAAACACATCTGTGTGACTAAACACTCTACCTCTCTAGTCAATGAAGCAGTTATGAAGAAAATAATAATCATACTTTCGAACCCATATATGTATAATCAATTTCTCTATAAATATTCCACTGTCTACTTCAAAAAAAGAAAACTATGAAGGCAAATGTCGTTGTGAGTATAAGTGGTATTGATGGAAATAATTTCAACACCTACATCCATGTCCAAACATATTCATGCTTATCTTACTTCTTTATTTTTGTTAATAAACGAAATAAAATAAATCATACAAGAAAAAAATAGAAAAATAAAGAAGAACGATAATTTAAATAAACGCTGAGTTAAATGCAAAACTCACTGTTCAGTATGAGTTTGAAATCTGTCTACATGTTCATCAAGTTTACATGATTAATCTGTACAAATGATTTCATCTTCTTGAACAAGGTAAATGACGTATTCGGGATTTAAGTTCATGAATTATAGATCGATCTATTGATGGTAAACGTTCACAGACAGATAATCCTTGTCTGTAATTTTGTAATGCTTGATCCATATGAGATATTTTTGCATAAATATTACCTATGATTAAATATGTATTACATACCGATGCATCTCCAAAATTATTTCGTTGATATCGTTTATCAAGTAATGTTTGAAAATACTTTAATGCTTGATTAAAATCTTGTTTTTCTAAACAAATATTTCCAAGAATCGTATAAATATCATCTAATGATTGATTATTATTTTGTTTATACATCAAATTTTGAAAATATCCTAATGTTTGATCTAAATGACGTTTTTCAATAAGAAAATTATCTGTATGAGATTTTGTTATGGATGATTGTTTCTTTAACTCTTTATAATCATTTGAAAATTGATGAAAATAATTTTTATTTAAATAAATCTTTCCAATCATATTATAACTATCATCTATTGATGAATAATTCTTTGGTATTTTTCCTAATTGGCAATCAAGTAATTTATAAAAATAAATTAATGACTGATCATAATTTTTTTGTTTAAAATAAATAGTTCCAATAGCTTTAAATAGATTTTCTAATGATGGATCATAAATTTGTTTTCGATTTAATTCATTATTTAATAAAGAAAGAGAATATTTTAATGCATTATCAAAATTTTCTCTTTCAAATGAAATATTTGCTAATATATAATATGTATCAGATAATATTGGATCATTTTCCGAATATGTTTTACGTTGTTTATGAAGATATTTTTTATAATAATGAAAACATTGTTCTAAATGACGTTTTTCAAAATAAATATTATCAAGAATTTTATTTGTTGATAATGATCTGTCCTGTGATGTTTGATTATGATAAAATAGTAATGTTTGATCGAAATCATATTTTTTTAAAAAGATTTTTCCAATCTTCTTATATATTTCATCAATATTAGATTGATCAAACGGTTCTTTTCGAAAATAACAATCAAGTGAACGATTATAATATAATAATGATTGATCTAAAATACGTTTTTTATAATAAATATTTCCAATTGTTTCATAAATATGAATTAATGAAAAATCTTCAGGAAATTTTGTTTTTAATTCATTATTTAATAAATCAAGATAATAATATAATGCTTTATCAAGATTATTTTTTTCTAAATTATAATCTCCAATGTTTTTATATGTATCACTTATTGATTTATCACCTAATTTCTTTCTTTCTAATTGACTATCAAGTATTTTTTGAGAATAAATTGATACTTGTTCATAATCATCTTTTTTTCGATAAATATTTTCAATAGCTTGATAAGTTTCAACAACTGAAGGTGTATTAGGTGGTAATGTTTTCAATTGATTATCTAACACTTTTTGATAATATGTTAAAGCTTTATCTAAATCTCCTTTTTTCATATATATATTAGCAATATTTCTATATGTTATTGCAAAATCAGGATGATTATTTGGCACGGATTCTGATTGTAAATGAAGAGCTAATTCCATATATTCTAAAGCTTTTTCATAATTATTTTTATCCAAAAACATTAATCCAATTTCATTATAAGTATAAGAAACATCTGGATGAGTATCAGGAAGATCTTTTAATTGATATTCAATTGCTTTATCAAATACTGTAGATGCTTTTTCAGATTCATTCATTGCAATATAAATTTTACCCATATTACTATATGTATTTGCAATTGCTGGATATTCACTTTCGATTTGATATTCAAGAGATTTTTTAATATATTCTAATGCTATATGATAGTGTGACATTTTAAAATGAACATTGGATAAAGATGCAAAAATTTTTGATACATTATTAGTATCATCTGTTGATAATGCTTTATCAAGATATTGTAATGCAAGTTGATAATTTGATTGTTCTGCATAAATTGAACCTAAATCATTATAACATGATGATACAAGTGAATGATTTTTAAGTGATGAATTATTTAATAAATATGATAATGCTTTGTTTATATTTGATATAGCTAAATCATAATATTCATGTTTAATATTAGCTTGTGCAAGTCCATAATAGCAATAAGCAAAATCAATATCTTTTTCGATTAAATTTTGATTTAAAATTTTTTTAAAATGTTCTTCAGCAAGATCATATTTAAGCATATGAATAAAATAATTTCCAATTGAAACAAATTCATTTTGATCATTTAATTCTTTTTTTAATGATGATAAAAAATCTTTTATATCGGCATCATCAAATGAACATAATATTAAATTAGCCATCCAAAGATTAAGTTTATCATCATGAGATACATTATCAATACGAAAAATTGAACCGACTGTAAAAAGAATTTCTTCTTCTTCGGGAAAAGCACTAATACGTCTTATGTCAGCATATGGTTTAGCTAGATAATTTATATTAACATCAATTTCGAATAAAATTGATGTTAAATCATTAGTAGATGGTGGTGGACCTGTTGCAAATTCTATTGCTTTATTTCTATTTGTACTTGTTGATAAAAATGAATTTATTGAAATTAATCCTTTTATACCCGATTTAAGACGATTAACTTCATCTTTACTAATATGTTGTCCTCGATAAACTTTAATAATTGGTGTTTTTAGTTGTTTTATAAATAATGTATGTTCATCATCTAATTGTTTAGTTAAATCTCTAATAAATGATCCAAATGGAATAATATCATCAATACATTGTGCTCGTAATGCTTTATTTAAAATTTTATAAATACATGTTTCTCTTGTATACCAATGAATTGCTTTGTCCGGTGTATATTCTTTATCAAATTCTTTCATAACTTGTTGATCATTTGAATTTTCGGGTTTAAAATATTCTGTTAGACTATTTTGATGAAATATTAATTCTTTTTTTCTTTTGGAAATTTGTTCAAGTAACATTTGATAAAGAATAAATTCTCCATTTAATGTTTTATGCATACTTTTATTATCTTTTGATGAGTAAACATTTGTACCCATTCTATCAACACGTACAGTACGTTGATTATCAGTTCTTCGTTGTATGTTGTTCTGCATCTTTTTGTTTATTTGATTTATCTGAAATTAAATAAAAAAATAAATTATGTATTAGGTTATTACAGATATTTCTCTTTGTTTATTTTTTGCATACATTTTATATATAATCAGTATGTCTAATATAAATACTAGATTATTTTTTTCGATATAAAACACGCTACAATGTGTACAGGTGGAAAAAACGACTTATAAAGAAACAAAATTTTTTTTGTACAATCATACTCACTGATTTAACCAGGACTTAATGAAGATATTTATCTTTGAATAAGCTTCAACGATAAAAAAAGATTGATGTTTAACTTGTAATAATATGAATCCTTGACTGCGTCAAGGTGTGTTTTTTTTATGCATGAATAACATGGAGAGTAGTGAAATTGCACTATCATGTGAAGTAGATGTTTATACTTCTACTTGAGATGAAAACAAAATAATTCAAGTACAAATTTTTTTTATTCTATGATTATATTTATTTCTCTTTCGATGAAAATATCAGGAGAACATTATGTATTAGAAATCTGAATTTTTTTTTCTTATTTTATATTCTTTTACTTTGATCCTAGGATTATTATAAGAAGTCAATCAATAACATTGTATGATATATACTAGTTCTATAAAATGAGAAACTTATTTCAATATGAAACAGATATTCAAATTAAGTGTTAAATTGTATTTGAATATGACTTTCAGGAAAAAAAAACTAGTTATTTCATTTTTCGAAAAGATGAATAAAACAATTCTATGTTTGTTTTGCTAAAATGTTCAAATTGACAATGCTGAATGAGATAAATATTTTAGTATTGTAGATTTCGTCATTAGATTATTTAAATGAAACCTTTTATCTATGACATAAACAAGCAAGGGTAGCGTATCATCGATTTTCAATCTGATAGACAATCTTGTTTACGGAGGCAACCAACATGTCATGCTGATACATATAAATAAATAATATCTGACTATTTTTTCTCTTACCAAATTTAACTTGTAGCTTACAGTTAATGACCTTGTTAATGATTATAATATCTTTTAATATCAAATGCCTTCGAATTTTTTTAGAACAAAAGGGGGAAAAATCAAATTCTCTTCTTTTTTTACTTTTACAACGAAAATAAAAACTTTGTTAAAATATATGCACAAATAAAATAAATCAATGAGTTCTTATGTAATGACACCTATAAAATTGTAATGAGCAACAAGAAAAAATTTTTTTTAATATCTAAATCAAAAATTGATTTAGTAGATTTTATATTTATTATTCNATCAATGAGTTCTTATGTAATGACACCTGGAAAAAATGCAACGTCTGTTTTGATGAGAGTATGAATAATCCTATATATCACCAAAAAAAGTTCTAATTTCACAATCTTATTTGTTAGAGTTTTATGATATTGAAGAAAAGTATCAATCATGACGTTCAAGATTATTTGAGTTGATAACGTTTAGATGATGCAGCTCGCTTATGTCACATTTACTAATGGCTCACTGTCTGAAAAGAAAATCAACAATTTAAAGTAAAGTTATGCTAGCAAATTTAGAGTAGTTTGGAAAAAAATAATAGACTATGTACACAAGTATTCATTGTCGATCAAGTATCACTTGATTTCTAAATGATTGATTCAGTATGGTCCACTTCTTTTTTTTTTTTGTTCTCGCTCGAGCATACAATATAGTAAAAACGTACACGTTACATACGAATGGTTTCAATGATTAATCATCACTTAAACGAATCTTATGCTATCATATTCGTTGATACACGGATAATTCAATGTTATAGTAGAACTGTAACTTTTAAGAGCTCATTTTCATGTTTTGTATTTGTTGATATTTATTTTTAAGTGAAAGAGTACTTTACATAAAACTTTTAATTTCTGCTTTAATGTAAAAAATGTATGCTTTCTAAACTACCGAAAAAAGTATATGATGACATAGGATGAAAGTATTGCGATCAAGCATTGTTAATTTCATTGATGCATTTTAATTATAAATATTATATTATACTTGGATTGTGATTGAAATCACATAGAAATAATTGCGAATTATTCCGAAAATGTTGAAATACTTTTTGTTGACATTTTCATTTTTTATCGGAAAACTTCAAATATTTTATTCATTTCTTTGCTGATTACTTCTAAAAAAAATTATTGCAATATTTGTACAGAAAAAATGATGTTTTTCTTTTTACAAGGTTATAACTGTTCAGTATATTAGAATTATTACATATTATTGCATACCACGAAATCATAGCAATAAAAAGATAAAAACTTGAAAATTTCAGTTGTTTGCATGTGCTTTTACTAATAATGCGCATCATCAAAAACTTAATTATTTAAAGTATTGATTTGGATCAAACTATGCAGAACTGAGACGAATATACAATGTATTTTAGTGAGAATTCCAAGATCGCAAGCAGGGGATGTACAATATTTTCTAATAAAAAAAGTCTGAAAAAAACAATATTATAGTTTAGAAGTCCGAAAACTGTGCAAAGTTCATAATATATCTAATATAAAATCAACTTTATTTCTTTATAATTCTCAAGAAAACAAACTCGTTCAAGGATTTATTTTAGTATTCCCAATGGAGAAATGACATTTTCTTCAAAATGAAGTTATGACTAGTTTTTCTGGTGCATTACTCAACTTATTAGTAACAAAAAATATATTTTTTACATTTCTTTTCAACCTTTGTTTGTGTTATAATTCAAATGTAGAAAAACAATTGATTTTTTTCAAATTGTGGAAGCTTTTTCAGAAGTCTCTAGTTTTTTTAACGCTGTGTTTAAAAATTTTACTGAAAATGTTTGTTGCAGCGGCAACAGATTATGCGATCACCAGATCTCACATCAGCTCGCATGGAGTAATTCGCCTTTCGACAATATGGACGTATAAAGTGCTGGTACTGATTATGACAGTTACGGCATCGGATACGTGCTCCTTGCTGATGCTCTCCATCATACCAGATATGCGAATCTTGACAATGCGGATAATTGAGATGTTGAAAGACTATATGACAATCCCAACATGTAATTCGAGCACCAGGTGTTCGATCTGCATTCTCCCATACGGACTCTGCTGAATATTTTGGGCAATTTATATGTTGATAAGTATTGTTGCAGTCATCACATATTATTCGTAAACCAGGCTTTCGATCGGAGTTTTTCCAAACATTCAATTTCGAACGGTGTGGACAATTAATTGTTTGATAAGTTCCCTCACAGTAAGAACATTTATATGATATGCCAGATTTGTAACGATTATCTTTGAAGTAAAGTATCATTTTACAATGTGGGCAATTGAGAGAGCAATAATATTTGTTGCAAGAATTGCAACGGGTTCTCAATCCAGGGGTATGTTCGTACGGTCCAGTCCAATAGGCCGCTTTTCCACAGTGTGGACAGTTCAGATGCTGAAAAGTTTGTGAGCATGAGGCGCACGTGACTTTTCGACCAGCATGGTAATCGGCATTTCTCCAAATATTCGATTTGTGGCAAAGAGGGCATGTTACTTCATTAAACGCTTTTTTACATTTGCAACAAATATCTCGAGTACCTTGACTATTCGTGTGGGAAAAAACCACTGTAGTTGAACAATGAGGGCAATTGAGTGTCTTCTCGCGTTGATCTAAAACATGGATTTATTTTAATAAACCAAATAAAAGGTTGATATGCATCGTATGCAAACGACCTTGATCTATACACTAATGAACTTTGTTTTTCAAGTAGATTTTCTTGTCAATTTAACACATTCGTCGGGATACAATATATTGTTCTGTCATATTCGCAAAGAATTCTGTTTCTTGTTTTAAGATAATTGTAATAATTAAAAACAGTTTTTATTCATGTGTCTCTTATCAGTCTGAGTTCTGAACACCCCTTTATTAGTAGTACAAGCATTAGCCTATTTCGTCAAAATATGACAAGAGGATGTGGGTGGAGGTGGGGGTGGGTGTGGGTGTGGTGTGGATGAGTGTTATCTTTTCTTGTACCCATACCTACACCTCACACTCACACCCATCACGCCCACACCTCACACCTACACTCGCACCCATCTTCCACCCACACCCGAAGAAAAGATTGGTCAACTGGATAACGAGATCCTTAAAAGTCTCAACTGAGACTATATTTTACTGCAAAAAACAATGCAAAAGCTGTTTCTCTTCAGCTTTGGGAGACTTTCTTCCAAGGGGGAAACAGTGGACTTTTGGACTTGAAGTTACTTTGAGCTACTTGTTCCTACTTTGGGCTACTTCAAGTAGTCTACTTTGACGCACTTTAGCGTACTTTTCTACTTCAAATTCGCTGTTTCCTCTTGCTTTCTCCTTTAACTATTTCCCCTCTAAGTAAAGCCAAACGAAAACTATCGGAGTATTTTGTACTTATGAAGCAATTCTAAATATGCCATTCACTTTTCAATGTTGTCTCTTATGAAATGAAGCATCAATCGTCTGCCTACGCTCAATTTTTTTTTGGTGTAGGCTATAATACGAGTCGAGTATAAACGACATAAATCATGAATAATCATATCTCATCTTAATTTTATTAATGTAATGGATTTTAAAAAATATCTTTAAACATTAATCGATGTCTAATATATTGATCCCATTTCCATTTGAAGCAGTTCATATATCAGTGCCAAGCTTATTTTACTTGCCTACGCATACCGTAGATGTAACTTTATAGCTTTTAAACAGAAGAAATTCAAAATGTCATGGATAAATTCAAGCTTTTTGATCGAATCTGGACAAATATGCTTAGATTCGATGCACATAATTAAAATTAATCAACAAATAATCGTAGATTCAAAAATTTCAACAGTCAATAATAGATTAAAGTTGATAAAACTAATTCAAGATTTGGAAAGAAACGAACAAAGATTATGATAGACTTTAAAAACTTAATTGAATTTTATCATTTTTTAAACTAAAAATCATATTAAGCTAAACTCTTTTTAATCGATCGTTTATCATAGAAAAATATGTTAAAGGCCAAATTTTTTTCCGATTTTACCTAATTGAGCTCGAATGATTATCAGATCAATTTGTCGCATAATGTTTTATAAAAATCAAACAGTTCACGTAGACTTGTTATTTTTTTCTCATTATAGTTTCTCATCCGAGTATATTGGTACTTTAACTGCAGATACAATATGATCTTTTACCACTTGTTGAAGCTATGAATCAAGGTTGAAGAGTAAGTACATCGCGATCAAAAGTTCGACTAAACTAACCAGAAACAATTAAGGCATGGACAATTATTTTGGCTCTTGTCGTTGTTATGGTCTCTCATTGTATACAAATGTGACTCCGGTATTTCAAAGAACCTTCGAAAGTTGTTGGTAATAGAGAATCGATACAAATGCAAGGACGTCAAACTAGTGGTTATGTGAAAAATTCAGCCAATGACAATGAGATAACAGAAGACAACTCAACTAGATTTTGAAATGACCGTCACCTGTCTTCTCCTTCAATGCTGGTCTCCATTTTATCATATCGTATGAATGTTCTACAATTACTTTCTTTTTTTTATAAGGCTCTAAAGGAATTTTGCAGATATTCAATCCTTTTTCATTTTGTTGAAATAAAAAACACGATATCTGCCTTTTAAATCTATAAAAAAAATTAATTGGAAATATGTTTTTTTGTAGTCTAAACGAATCTTAGAACTGAGCTTTGAGTAGAGCAATGCAAGATACAGGACGATAGATCCGACTGGTGGATTCTATTGGGAAAACTATCGAATTTTTTAGGATTCCATAGGATTCTACTAGGCAGTTTCACTCTGGAGAGCGTTGACCGAAATAATCTCATTTTAATATACTCAAAGCTTTAGTATTGGAACAGTATAATATGAAAACTGTGCACATCCAATTTTCATGCGCAATAAGCAGGATATAGGTCTGACTCTTCTTTTCAGTCACATCCACACCCAAAATATAGATATTTAAATAATGATGTTCAGTGAAGAAAATATTGGAAATGAATAATAAATATTTCTATTATGATATATTGGCATTGATTTTATATCATGTGATTCACTTTATTCAATGAAATAATATTGAAATAAATAAAACTACTGCCAAAATAAAATGATCTCAATTTGAATGATTCTACTACTGGATATATTTTCATATGATTGAATTGTAATTAATAAAAACAGTATGGAATAAAACAAAGGAATATTTTCTTTATTGAGCGAGAACTTATGCTTTCATTTTATTCTTTAAAAAATAGTTTATCTTTCTTTGATGACATTTCTTGATTTTTTTTGTAAAAACAACCTTTTTATTTTCGTTTATAAAGAATATATGCATTTATTTATTCATTTGATAAATATTTGTAAAGAAAAATCCAATGAAGAGAAAGAAATTCGATGTTTAATATGATATTTATTTAAAATGACATTTGATTTCGATTAAATTTTATTTTTATTTCAATGAGAACTGTCTAAAACAGCTGATCAATAACTGTGAATTAATATAAAAGAATATTTTTTTTTCTTTATATAAGTAAGATGATTGACTAATACAATTATTTTTTCTTAAAAATAAAAATTAAATTTTTGAAATATTTTTCAATAAGATTAAGATTAGAAATGAGATAAATGAATTTATTTCTTATTGTCATGTGCATTTATTGTTTGATAAATACGAATAAATACCCATAAACATATTGTAAATAAATGTTTTTCATTGAAAAATATTGATGCAAACCAAACAGCAAGTTGATTTTGTAATAATAATTCCCATGGATTAGCTAAAACAAAAACAACACCAGTTGCGTTGTTTAAATATATGATGTTTCTTATGAATATGATTATATAGCCAACGTGCATGAAATAAATAATGTGTCCAAAAAAATATAAAATCTTCACTTAATATAAATGTAATAATTTGCCATGTTATTGTAAATAATGATGGAATTGATGAACGTACAGAAACATGACCAAAATAATTCAATAAATGATATAATAAAGATAAAATAAATATCATTGATAATTGATGTTCTATTGTTCCCGTTTTTATTTGACGAATAATGTCAGGTTGAAAACGAAGTTTTCGTTTATTTTTTTGTATACGATATTTATCAATTGAAGGAATATCATTATATTCAATATAAATAAGAAATAAATTATATAACCAAAATACTGTTTGAAATGTTAAATAAAATACAAATAGTAAATGTTAACCATTCAGATGAATAAAAATATTTATCACATATATCACTAAAAAAATGGTGATGATCTACTTACAATTTCTAATGTTTTTGTAATATTTTTTTTTTCAATTTTATCACAATGATAATGTTTATAGAACATTTTGATATATTTATCTTCCTTCTTTCTTTGCATTATTATTATGACACTATCACGTGAAAATTTTTATCTTTATCAGTTAAAATAAAATAGAATAATATTCGTAATTATTCTAAGTCGTAGCTATGCTCGAAAGATCGAACAAAATTTTTAAAATCTTTAATTTGAATGTGATTCTATTCAATTGAGATTGAGTTCAAAATCAAATTTTCCATCTTGATATACTATTTTTGACAAAAAACGCTTTGCTTTTTGTATGCTTCATACATATTTCAAGATCATTAACACACAAAAAATAGAAGATTTTCCACCTAGTAAAATTTACGGTACCTATGTAGTTCATCAACAGAACATTTTGGTCGGCAAAGCACTTCATTAATAAATTCAGATCAAGTACAGATGGGTGTAGATCTGGGATATGAGGTGTGTGTGGTATGGATTTCATTCTTCTCTGCCCGCACACTCACAACCACAATCACACCCACATCCAGATCCTTTTTTGTCTATGATAAGGTTATTCGTTTGAAACAGAACAATAATAAAAAAAAACAAATAAGAAGACTGATAAAATGATAACAATTGGTCAGACTCTTATTATATATACAAACATTCATTTTCAATAGATGAATTTCTAAACGACGAAAGAGTATTGTTTTTGAATGATACGTTAGCTGTACGCATCATATATAGATAAGGTATGTTCTTCTTAAGTGTTAGATATGATTCGAATAAAAACAAGTTCAAAATAAATATATAACCTTTTCATGTGAAAATTTTATTTTTTAATCTATGTAATCATGTTTGTTTAAATAATTGTGTTTTATCTTTTTCTTTCATTAATATCATAATATATAATTATATAACTATTTAATCTTTTTTTATTTGTACTTTTTATAGAATAAATTGAAAAATGTATTTAATATTTTATATAAATATTGTATTGATATTTACTGTTACTTATTGTTCTATGTCAATAATGATCCATTTTTATCATGATAATTTATTTGAATTATCAAATGAATATTTAACTGTTCAATTTAATTTATCTAATGGACAAATAACATCATTTAATTATAAATCACAATTGATTACAATAACAAATGAAACAAGTTTTATTGTTTTGAATAATGTTCTAATTGATTGTTCAAAATTAATAAATTTCAAAGAAGATGTACATTCGATTAATTTTACTTATGCATGTTCAAATAAAACAAATTATCAATTAACAATAATCTATACATTAAAATTTCAATGGGAATTTCTAGAAAAACAAATTTATTTTGAAAATATAGATAATAAAAGCATAACATCAATTGAAACAACATTTACTTTGACTAATAAAATAATTCCATCTGTTTCGATTATTCAAAATCGACAAGATTTAAATAAAGAACATACAATTTTCTTACGAACTAAATTAAATACATTAGGAATATTTGCTACATGGCAACATCCATTTGGTCATTATTCTATTACATCAAATAATCAAACAGTAACAAGCTCATATCAAATCGGAATAAATATATCTTATTTAAGTGAAGGTTTTCTTATTGGGTTTTATAAATTATCTACATATTGGCATACAAATGATATAAATTATGCTGAAAGAGAAGCTTATGAAAAAGCAACAAGCTTTTTTTATCCAATACCACAACGTAAACAATCAATAAAACATGCAGTTGGTTGGGATAGTAATGATTATCAAATCGATATCTCAACATCACATGGTGTTGAAGAATATAAACGTCTAATTGATCGTTGTGCACAACTTGGTATAAATAGTCTAACATTTGCGCCATCAAATACAAATGTATCAAGTCGTCAAGAGGCCACTGACGATTGGGGCTGGGAGAGTGTTTTATGGTTATCATTAGGTGAGAAAATTCGTTTAGAACAATGGAAACCTTATCGTGACTCAATACCTTTAACAATTCAACAAATGTTAGATTACGCACAATTTAAACAAATTAAATTAGTTCCATATGTTTATCCACCATTAGGTTATAGATTGAAAGGAAAAGATCAAGCTTGGTTATTTCCAAGTTCACATTGTAAAACTGTTTGTGCATCTTTAGCAAGTGTAGAATTTCAACAATATTTTTTACAATTATTAATTGATTTTGCACAAATTACAGGTAATTCATCTTCATTTAGGAAGTTTTTCTTTCGCTTATTGCGTCTTGAAAGAAAACATTTCGAAGTACAATAAGTAGGTAATATGTAGGTTTAGCTGTGCAAGATATTCTTGTTTTGTTCTAATACAAATAGATCAAACCGATAATACTATTGCCAAAAGTGAAAACTAATATATATTTAACTATAGGTATTGGTGGATATGCATGGGATTATAATTTTTTCTATGATACTCAAAATACTGAATATAGTCAATGGCGTGGTTGGCAATGGATTCGTACAGAGTTACTTGTTGCATTACCATATTTAATTATGGATCATCGTTATGCATCACAATATGATGGTCCATGGTCATGGATAACTTTAAATGGTTATACATCACCTTTATTAAGTGATGAAAATCCTGAAACATATCCAATTTTATATCCATCTTTACATACTGACAAAATTTCAGCAGATTTTTTGCGTCAAGGAAATGTTGAATTACGTTTAGAACATTTTGCATCAATGGATTGTATTCCTGGTTTTATTGGACATCAAACAGAACGTTATTCATCAGATGGAAGTTTGCCATGGATTGATAATAATTTAAGAGATTTTGATTTAATGGGTTTTTCATATTCATTATTATCTAATATAGCAACAGCTGGTTTAAATCTTATTCATACATTTATACCAGCACGAGATTTACAAGAATTTTATTTACTACCTGAAGATTTTTTACAATTTTGGTCTTATTGGTTAAAATGGACAGATGAACATATTGAAGAAATACGTAATAGTATACCATTTAATATCGAAAAAGATTGGTCTTTAATGAAATCCAATAGTTCTGATGGATTTTTATTTTTATTTAATCCATATTATAAACAAGTTCATAGAAAGATTTTATTTGATGGAAAATTAAATCTGAAAAATCCAAATGAACAAGGTTATTGGTTATTAAAAGAAATTTATCCACAAGAAAGATTTATACAATTTATAGAATATAATCAAACAAATGATTTTTTATTAGATGGTCAAAGTGTCACAGTTTATCAATTAATGTTTATTTCAATAATTGATCGACCAATTCTTGTTGGTATTAGTGGACAAACTTATCTAACAAATAAAAACATATTAATTATTAATGGTGTTTATGGTGAAGCTGGTACACAAACAAATAATCCTATATTTATTATCTTACCTAATCAATATTTTATATCAAATGTTATATTAAATGGAATAGAAAAAACATTTCAACAAAACAATCAATTTATTATCTTAAATAATTCATTATCATTTCCTGGTTTATATTTACCACGTTCAGCAGAAATTCTTAATAATACAATAATAGTTAGTGATTTATTATTGGAACAATTAATGAAACGTCAATTAGAATATCCTATTCAATGGACGGATAAAGAATTAAATGATGCATCGTGGTTAGGACCACATCGTCTTTTATTATTTATATGTATTTTAAATCCAAATGATCAATGGAATATAACTGCTCAAATCAATAATAATTCAGTCATTGTACATAAAACTTATAATACACGTGATCATTATGATCAACAACGATTTATTGGATTTTATTTAGATTTAACAAATATTGTTATACAACCAAATGTTGAATATTATTTATCATTAAATATACCTCATCTTGATCCAGGACAATTTCAAGGATTATTTTTAGAAAATATTGAAAGAATTCTTGTTGAACCATAAATCTTTTTTTGAATTTTTATTCAATGAAATAAATACATTATTAATGATTATATATATCAGTTTTTTAAGAATAGAATAATATTCTTAGATATAAGAAAATCTCTTTTTTATTCATATTAAATGAAAACTACTTTTAATAGTGAATGAACTTCATCAAACAACGATGAGACGTACAAAATAATTCGGAAATCTTACTTTCTATTCTTATTGACAAATTTTCATTGTATTTTCAGTATCCGTTAGCGTCAAAAGATGACACTATGTCGCTCGAACGTTTAAGCTAATTGTCCTTTTCTCATTAATCTTTATCCTGGTATTTTTGCTATTGTTTTCACTGCTGTACTGAGCGATCTTGTTAGTGTCAAATTTTTGGTAGAAAGTTTATTTTTGTACCAGATTTCTAATCTTATGCAGACCAGAGATTCTAATAATTATATATACATAGATAACATAGAAAACATTCTTATTGTAAATGTTCAACTTTTCTAAATGTCATTTGGTTTTTACTCCGAATCAATAGAGAGATGGACGATTAATATAGAACGAATTATGATTATTCGATCTTCATCTTCAATATTTTAGAGAGATTGAGCATATGGATATTTTCAATTGATCTCTTAGTTTTACTGATCATCAAATGGTATTTTCTTCTTGTCTATAGAATAGATATGATTATCGAATGATATTTTCGTTTTAATGAAATAGTATGAATTTCAATCCTCGAATACTTAAAAAGTATCTCATTTGTTTGAAGTGAAGATAAAAAGATAAAATAACTCAAATACAAGAGATGAAGAAATTGATGTGATATTGATAACAATAGAAAAAATTATCTACAAAATTATTTATATTGTTTTCAAGCAAAGTTAATCAAACAACACCTTAAGGTAGTTTGGTTTAAATAAAGACAAAAATCAATCGGTATTTCGAGTTTTTCATTTTTTTTTCGATCATTTTTCACTGATTATTAGTATTTCTTGATAGGAAATAGTGCATGATGGAAAAATAGTTTTAATTAAATAGTAATGATTCCAATTGTATATTCTAAAGCATGATTATGAGTTTAATCGAAACATGTCGAATGATCATAGACAGGTCCATATAATATCCTTAATATCTGACGCGCGTAACATATAATATTAGAATTTTTTTATACAGATCTAAATTCATCAGAATCTTCAATATTTATGATTTGCTCTTCGATCAATGAACATGTCATATTAGCAACAAACTCGCTTGTATGATATACTTGTGGCCAACAAACGAATCGTGAAAAAGACTCATTTCTTTCTCATACTTCTTTTCTATAAAGACAACAAGAACTAAACATTTTGCACTGAAAAAACTTTGAAATAGTTGCCTTTACTTCGAGTACAACTAAGAGTAATACCGTAGAATTTTGCTCACACGAACAAATTTAAGCAGGATTTTTTTCTAGAAAATTGTTTGTTAAGTTTCATTCGAAAGTCATGTGTTATGTTTCTTCTACCTTTCTTTCTCTCTATATACATGTACCTAGATGTAGTTGTTCAAGATCTTTATGTCAGAAGGAATGAAGAAAAGTGAACTAAACGTTTAAATGTATAGTTAGATAACAAAAAGGCAAGAAAGAATTATAAAACGATATTGGAATAGTGAATATCAAGAAGTATGGCATCACTGTAACATCCTCCAATCATGAACGTACAAGAAAATGGACATTCTTGTCTGTTACTTGTACAGTAACAATCATTGATGCAGACCTGGAAGCAAATCCGTATCAATACCTGCAACCCACGATCACATCCCACATAAGTGTTAGTACTAAGGGTGATTAATTTACATTTCAAAGAAATGAACAGATAATCGCCAGCCCTGGCCGATACGATGTTGTCTCAAGTAAAAATTTTTCTGTGCGCAGAAATGCTCGTGAATTACCACACTTATACGATTAGAGAAATGAGACTATGTAGTTATTTACATCGATCTTTGTTCCTTTCAATAAGATCGACTTGTCTGCAACATTATTCGCTCTGTAAAAGATTTTATTTTTGGCTCCAAAGACTAAAATCTTTCGCGTTGACATGTATAACTATTGCAATGTCCGTTGCAAAAATAAATTTATTTTGCTGACATGATAAGAAAAAAAAATTAAAACGTCTTTCTTAAATTATGACAATTGAAATGTTGCTGCAATCATCAAATGATCCGAAGGATGTGTTTCATCAGGATAAGATTCACCAGAAGGATGATCTGGTAATTCCAACACTTTCTCGACTGTAAGATGACCATTGAAAAAAATGTAATCCAATGTTGCGCAAAAATTTGGTGATGGTGCTGTATCAGAAAAATCTGTGTAAGCAGGTTCGGCTCCATTTTTCTCTCGATATGCGCTCTTCAATATTTGTTCAGTATTAGGTCGATAAGAAATTCCATAAGTACTAGACTCTGGTAAATTGACACCACGAAAATCTTTCTCTGTTAAAGCTTGGTAGCATATATCCCATGGTTTGATATTGAAGTCACCTGCCAGAATAAAATCTTGTCCACCAGCTAACTGAAACATCAAATCCTTCACAACCGAAGAATGGATTGCCATAACATCGGGCGCTTTGTAAAGACAAGGCATGTGGTACGTACCAATATATATGGGTTTACTGTCTAAAACGATTTGTAAACAAATGAGAGTATTGGCTCTAGCCATGGCCATTTCCCATGGATCAGATGTAAATTGTATAAATTTACTCATGGCAAACCGGTATAGATTCCATCCCCACGTAAAAATATTGGCTTTTTTCTCACGAGGTTTACTGAGTGAGCGTATATGATCTCCAATTTTGATAAAAGAAATTGAATTGAGTTGCATAGAAACTGGAATTGCCATGCCTACACCCATATAATCATTGTGTCGTTTACCATAAAGATTATGAAAGAACGTATAATTCAGCCGACGAAAAAATAGTTCAAGTTTAGGCAAGAGAGTAAGAGACAATTCTTGTAAGCAGATGATCGTATTTTCATGATGAACAATTTCGTGTTCTAAATGAGATTTAATCAAATTCCATCGATGATCAGTTTGAAGAAATTCAGGTCGACATTTGGTATAATGATCTGGCCGATTAGCATAAATGGGCACTAAAATATTATATGACACGATGCGAACAGTCATATTGACGTTATTAATGTATGTTTATATCGGAAAATGAGTTTAAAAAAAAAGGAACATGATGTAGGAGGCTGCGTTTTATATAGGAAGAAGAGGAACAACAAACAAACTCACATATAATTCTATGACGATAAGAAATATGAGGTAAGAACAGAAAGAAATGACTGATGTGTGCCGCGAGTCAATATGACGAACATAAAAGGACAAAGTTTCGACGATTTAGAAAAGAATGATGAAAGAACAAGGAAGAGTAAAGCACATATTCAATGACTCACGAATGTAAATAAGAACACGTGAAAATATAGACACTCGTATATACTAAACGTAAGAAATTTCTTCAACTATTTCAATTTTTTTAAATTCTTCCTAAGATTTACAACAACTAATCAAAACTTCATAGTAGTTATTCAGACTATTCACTTTATGATTGACTTTTCTAAATTGAATACATTTGTTGCCATATATCATTCCTTAATTGTTATTAATTAGAAAGAAAATTATGAAGAAGAAACATATTATCTTTCATCTGTTGAAATATTCAGAAATAATAGTTACTTGTCATCAACTATTTAGTATACGAATATTGTTTGCAAGGTAACTATTGTCAGACGACCAGAGATTAACAACTCAAATTTTTATAAATAAAGATCACAACCAATGTATATGTAGCATCTACTGAATCAACAGTACACTGTAAATTAGAAATAAATTCTAATTTGTAGAAAATTAATTTTGAATAGACATGAGCAATTTCTACTTAGGGCATACCAAAAGTAGGAACAGTGACACTTTAATATCGTATAGTAGACTTAAAAAAACTTTCTTTCTATATAGTCTGATAGAAAAAGAAAAGCTGTATGTTTCTATGCTATTTGATCATACTTCAACTAATATCATAATAATAAAATTTCGATAATATGTATTTCGTTATCATATGTGCGGGTTGTATTAATACCCATTTTAAAAAATACTCACTTGCATTTTTTTAATAACTTTTGATAAAAACAAGATAGAGAACTGCGGTTTTCACCGTTGGCAAGACGAGATGAGGACGCATCGAATCGTATTTTCCAATTTTTCAATTAATATTTTTAAGAACAAACTTATCTGGTAAGTTGTTTCTAGGGAATTTTCAATTATCTACTATAAATTGAAACCACTAATCGGAGATCAACAAAGTGTAGATAGCTGAGATGAATAATAAGCATTCTAGTCGAACCTTGAATATTATTTTGTAGCAAAGTCAGTAAAAACAAAAAAGCGTTTTCGAGTCAGATACAAATAATAGACAAAGAAAATGTTAATGTTTTTCTTCTATTCTGCAGTATGACATAATATATTTAATACTTTCTTCATACATCGAGAAAAACAAGGATGAAAGATTATCTCTGAATGATTTTGTTGAGTTTCGTCAAAGTTAACTTTGAAAAAATAATTTTATGCATTATTTGAATTTATTATACTTTTATATAAGAAAAGAATTACCAGTATCAGGGTACTGATATATAGTTTCTTCGATTTTAACGGTTCATCGTGCATTTATCTCACGAAAATCGTCATTGGAAAGACTAAAATCAAAGAGAAGAATCTTTTGCGTCACTTGTGATCGTGATGCGTGAGGAGTTCAGATCTTATGTCAAGGCAATTAAACTGAGCATTTCAAAGAAATAACAAAAAGTTACGATAAATAATTTTGGTCTTGTACAAAAACTGCATCAGACGGCTTATAGTTTGAAAGGTTTGAGTGATATGGATAAGATAACAAGAGCTATTCAATAATAAATAATGAGCAAGATACCACAGAATAAATAATCAAACAAATAAATACTTTTCTATGTAATTTTTACTTCGAGCAATCCAAAAGTGGTGACTTAGATACTATATTTCTGTGTAGAAAGCTTCAGGAAACTTTCTCTTTATATGCAGTGATAGTAAAACAATGCTCTATTTTTTTTCTCGTGATATTTCATTATTCTTCAACTAATATTATAATAATAAAATTTTGACAAAAACTGTTTATTACGACGTATGATGATAACATTAGATCATCTGTTCATTCTCATCTTCTAATCCATTCCAGCTGCTACATCAGCAATGCTTAGATTTTCAAGAAACAAAAATGCGGAAATTACAAAGACATAAGCAGCTAATTTTTCTGAAACTTCGGTGATTATTAATACATGAGAAAATAGTTTTCAAGGAACTTCCATAATACTGATCCATAAGAAAGAAATTATAAGGAAATTATAATAGAATATTTCATGAATTCAAAGAGAATTAAGAACATTACTAGGAAATTTCTAAGATTTCTTTACATTCATATGAAAAACTGAAGTTATAAGTCTTAAGAAATATAGAAGTTCACTCCTTAATCTACATAAGCTTTCCGTAATTTTCGAAGTTTCCCATTAATTTCTGAAAGTTCAGGTGACTTAGATATAGAAACTTCTCTAAATTCTATGAAGTAGTATGATATATTTAACTTTCATGTATAAACTAGCTAGTAAATATTGAAAATTTTCAGAAATTTCTTCTCCATGTCTTAGTATTTGTCAAAATTTGATACACAACTACCTTCCTATGTATTGGGAAGTTTGGAAATTTCCTTTTTTTTGAAAAATCTGAGTACTCATCACTTTCACAACAACACCCAGCACGCTTATGATACAGAATCTGTGGAAGATCTCATATACGCTACAAAACCTTAAAGAACTTCAGTGCGTGCTATGGAATTTAAGAAGGGTGTCGATTTCGTTTCAGATTGAGATATCTTTCTTTTCCAATTGAGTCTGTTTGGTCGTAGCTCGTCTTCGACCTCCTCCTGACACTCACGAAACGATACGGTCCATCTATGAATTGTCCTAAGAAGAAACGTTTGATCGGCGTAAACAGAATACAGCTTATCATATATAGCTCTTGCTAGAGTATTAGGTGCTATTCAGTACGAGTGATTAGTACTAACGTTCTATCTATCTCAATTTCTTTAGTTTTCTTGAAAGTACACTAAAATACTGCACATACACATAAAACCAATGGGATATGAGGTTTTCTATATATGTGTTTCGACGACTATGACTTAAAGTAGATGAGAAAAACAAACAGCACAACAAAAAAGGACACGTATAAAAGACAATATGACCTAATGTTAACCTCTACATATCATAACATAGAGTTTTTATCGAGTATATATTATTGCAAGAGTATGATATGAGTTATGAATAAATACGAAATCCTACATCTACATTCCTCTTCATAAAATTGTGTTATAATAGACTATATAACGTGTGTTGGTTGTGATTTTCGAATTATTCAAAACAGATACTAAGTAAAAACTCTTTGATAAAACTCTTACGTAATATCGAAATTAGCAATAGTATGTTGATTTTACTTCATACATTCATCATTTTGCATCCTCTTCTTTGACGAAGGTACTTCAAATGTTAGTGCAGATTTTTTTATTCACTTCAAGTCTTTGAGTGATGATATCTCGAAAAAAAGGACAAATCTATTTACATCATCTTCTTTTGACTTTCTACAGCGGGAAAGTCAACATCTTTTTGTTCTTGCAATTAAATACACGAACAATTTAGTTATTTTTCTTTATCTTCGTGTATTTTGTTCGATAAAAATATTAAAAAAGAAAACAGTGTCTCATTTTCCTCTGTCTTCTTTTTAGATCTTGGTCGAAGATAACATGGCAAACAATACATGCATGCAGTGCGCTTTTTAATAACAAAACGATGTTGCTGTTGCTACTGATAGTAGCAGTATAAATACGAAACAAAACACAAAAAAGAAAACGAAAAACAAAGACAATCAGAAGGTTGATAAAAATTACAAAAAAAAGATAAGAGACAGATTTATTGACAATAGAAGAGGCAAAGACAAGCAATCGTTGATGATGACTGTATCACTACAGTCAATGTTACTATCATTTTCTCAACGCTTATATTATCAACATGTCACAGCGCAAAGTCAATTCTGCTAAAACCAGGTTCATATCATTCAGCGAGTCAACCTCGTGCCCATCCAATACTAATAGTAGTAGCAACAACAATAAAGATCAAATCATTGACCTATTACAACAGTTAGCCAATGCTCATTCTCAAACCAATGAAAAAAGCAAATATTCTTCGTCTCATTCTAATCGTTCTCGTTCTTCAATTTTTTCTCTTAATCCCGAGAAAGCTCGAGCTGAACAATTCTTTTTACTATGGGCGATCGTTTGGATCAGTATCATGTTCTATATAGTCTATACACAATGGTTCGAAACATTCACACCATATCATTATCTTTCTGTTGGATTGATATTATTCCTATTCCCTACAGTGTTTCCCTTGTTATGTCCATCACTCTTTCTCTCTGCTCATCTTCCTATCATTCATCGATACACTACTAAAGCTAATCTTTACATAGCAATCTTATCATGGATTGCCAATTACTTTTGGACACATTATTTCTATAGAGTGTTACATGTCACATACACATTCAAAGCACATCGTCTCAATGATGTACCTTTTGCACTCTATATGATCACACATTCTTACTTCCATTTGTATCATGTCCTGTCATCAATCATGATAAGAACTGTATGGCGTCGTTTATCTCTAAAAGGAACGGCACGATATCTGCACATAGGAATCGTGGTGATTGTCATGAGTTACATTGTGGCCTTTTTAGAAACTTTCACTATCCAAAATTTTCCTTATTATCATATTCCTAATCGATATTCCATGTACGTGTATGGCTCCATGTTTTATGCTCTCTACTTCGTTGTGAGTTTTCCTATGTTTGCACGGTTAGATGAGGCAGGCAATACATGGAATCTATCGGCAACCTTCATTGACAGCATGGCTTGTTGCATGATCATCACACAATTACTGGACTTCTGGAGGATATTTATTGGATCTTTGAGTGATAATGCATCCGTAGACAATCCTGTCAAGCAATCAGTACCCTACGTGTATTGAAAGCAGTTCTACTATCTACTTCAGACGTGATTC